CAGGGATGAGAGTGCTCTACCTGCATGTGGTTGCTCCCATTCCAGTCTCTCCCAGAGCTCTGGCCCCACCAGCCATGGGAGTAGTACCCTAGACCTCACTCCTACTTTTGGGCTCTTGGCCAGCGGGGTTGCATTGGGTCCAATGCAGTGAATCCAGTGGCAGCACCAGTGGGATCTGGACCCTGCTGGGGCATGCATGAAACCTGAGTGGTGCTTTGACCCCATGTGGCACGAGGGAACACCACTCGTCAAATTTGGCCCAGCAGTTGTTCTGACAGCAAAGTGGCTGGGTGAAACCTAACTGGCCCCTTGCAAGTGCACCCAATGCACATTCATTAATCTTGATTTTTGTGAGTTTACTTGCACCCCTGGTAGAGCTGTCCCATATCTCCCCCACCAGGCATGCCAGTGCTTAATAAGCCCCCATTGGGTGTGCGGTGCTGTGGATGCAGTGGATGGAGTGGTCTGAAATGTTGTCTCCTATTATGTTGTTAGGTTCCAGCCTTTTACACCCATAGGGTATCTCCAGCCCCGTGTAAATGCATCCAAATAGAACAGCTTCAGTTCCTTCCAATGCTCATTACGGGTTAATGAGTTTTGCATTTTCCTAGTAATAGAGAGAGAAGAATGCTAATCCAGGCTTTCCAAAGATAATCTTGAGTTAATTCTGTGCATTTACTGTAGTTACAAGTGAACCACAACAGGGATAGACTAATCCATGAAAACTTCTAATTAGACAACCCATCTGGATCGAATCAGGGGGAAGAATCTCACCAGGCATTTAGCTTTCCACAGAAATGCACTCAAATGAGTATTGAGATTAATTATTAGTTGCGTTTGAATTAGAATTTAATCCTGCAGGGACTACTGGGTCAACAGCTTGCTCCTGTGGATGCTGAGCACTATGCCAGGCACTGTTTGCAGGACCAGGCCAGCATAGTCTGAGTCCCCTCCCCTCTTATTTTCACTGGCGTCCTCCCAGCGTAATGCTCAGAAGAGACTCAAGGCCCCGTTCACTTGAAAGCCGCAGGGTGATACATATTATTTAATTATATATTTAAATAAAAAGCTACATGTTGTTATCTTTTTGGGAAAATTTACAAGGGTAAAGCGAAAAAACCAAACACTCCCCATAAGCCCTCTAAATTGCAAAGGGCTGCCGTAGCACACAATGGGCCCTTTGGTTGATTCTGTTCTTTCTGCTAAACTCTAAGCAGCGGGGTTGGGCATTGTGATTGAACTTCATGAAACTGGAAAGCTTGTTTCATTTTGAATCTCATGGGCTGTGTCTAGACTGGCCAGTTTCTCCAGAAAATCAGCCGCTTTTCCAGAAAAACTTGCCAACTGTCTACACTGGCCGCTTGAATTTCCGCAAAAGCACTGACTTCCTACTGTAAGAAATCAGTGCTTCTTGTGGAAATGCTATTCTGCTCCCGTTCAGGCAAAAGTCCCTTTTGCGCAAAGCTTTTGCGCAAAAGGGCCAGTGTAGACAGCTCAGATTTGTTTTCTGCAAAAAAGCCCCGATCACAAAAATGGCGATTGGGCTTTTTTGCGCAAAAGCACGTCTAGATTGGCACGGACGCTTTTCCGCAAAAAGTGCTTTTACAGAAAAGCGTCCGTGCCAATCTAGACGCTCTGTTCCGAAAATGCTTTTAATGGAAAACTTTTCCGTTAAAAGCATTTCCGGAAAATCATGCCAATCTAGACACAGCCATGAAGTGTTAGGGACTGGATGTAATATCAACAGCCGCAGCTGTGCTGCCAAATGTCAGCCTACAAAATATGTCATTTTAGCTGCTATTCTGTGAAATGCATGTTGTGTGTGAGTGTAGTAATGTGCATTTCTAGTGAGACTGACTTTACCGTTTTCTATGCAGTATCTAACGAGTGGTTTTAGTGCTTCTCTGGAAGGCTAGAGATTGATGTACTTCATTAGGATCTACACAGAGACTTAAAGCAGCATTTAATAATACCTGAAGACAGGAGCGGATGAGAGTGCCGCGGGGCCCCAGGCAGCACAATTTCGTGCCCCCCCCCTTGACACGGCGCATGCGCCGTGGCGCCTGCGTCCCCTGTCCCAAATCCGCCGCTGCCTGAAGATGTTTCACAGTCTGTATGAACTGAGGAGCTGATAAGTGGCTGAGGCTACCATTTTAGTCACAGTTCCAACAGTCAATGCAGTCTGATGGACAATCTTAGCTAGGAAGATTGGAACTGCTCATATAGGATTTAAATAGCACAATCAAAAGGCTTGATTCTATCCCCCATAATAATCCACATGGAGGAGACCCTCTATGCAAGTCACTTCCCCCACCATGGGGAAAATAAAGGAGGCTCTGGTGTTTCCATATCAATGTTCCTCCGCCCCACCCCACGTGATGCAATGCATGTTGCAGGTACTGGGATTCACAGACAGGGGGACTGGTGGGAGCAGTCAAGTTGGGAAGATGTGGGCAGGCCCCAGGGACTCATCCCATCTACATCAGACTTGCAGAGGACAGTTAATATAACTTCAGGCTTTGCTGAACCAACTGGTAGGATTCCTCCTTTAAGGCTGAGGCAACAGAGCCAGGGTGTTGGCCTTGGCTTGGTTTCTTGTGGCTGTACAGGCTCAGGGAGATGGAGCGATGACCTTTCCTTTGGAAGGCCAACAGCCACCCCCTCGGATGGAATATGTGAAAAACCTCAACAAAAGCCTTGCAGAAATCTTCTCAGGCTTAATCCCCTCTCACAGGTGACTGGGCCTATAGTTAAGACACTTTCCTTTCTGAAAAGTGTTCAGAAGCTAACTAGGACACTAGATAGGACACATGGTAACAGTTCAGAAGAGGATGGAAGTATTTATAGAACAAGTTGTAGAACCAAAGCAGTGAACAAATAGCTTGTGAATAGTCAGAGGAGCACTAGCTACTCACAATAATATTCCCAAATCTCAAAAACTATGTGAATTCATAGTAGAAATATATTCTTTTCTGCCCTCTCCTTAAAGGGTGCAATTCACTGAACCAGAGCAGAAGCTATACATTCAGCTAACAGTAAAACAAAAACAAAAACTGCTCCAGTTACAACTCATTTGGAAAGTTTTGTCCAAACAATGTGGTAGAAGTAAAATGCAGGACTATGTAGCACTTTAAAGACTAACAAGATGGTTTATTAGATGATGAGCTTTCCTGGGCCAGACCCACTTCCTCATGGAAGAAAATAGTCACAACCAAATATACCAAAGGATACAATTAAAAAAATGAACACATATGAAAAGGACAAATCAAATTTCAGGACAGAAGGGGGATGCGGGGGGTGGGGGAGAGGAAGGAAGGTAAGTGTCTGTGAATTGATGATATTAGAGGTGGGGAGAGTGGGATGTCTGTGATAGTTGGGGTCTTTGTTAAGTCCGGTGCGGAGGGTGTCGAATTTTAGCATGAATGCCAGTTCAGAGGATTCCCTTTCAAGTGCAGATGTAAAAGGTCTTTGTAGAGAAGAACACGTGGTGAAGTAGTTGAGACAGTGTCCTTTCTGGTTGAAATGGCAAGAAATAGTTTTTTCTTTGTGATCTTGTCTGATGTCTGTTTTGTGGGCATTAATCCTTTGGCGAAGTGTCTGAGACGTTTGTCCGATGTACATAGCAGACGGACACTTTCGGCACACGATAGCATAAATTATATTTCTGGATGCGCAGGAATATGTGTTCTTGATCTTATAACTCACTTGGTTAGGTCCAATAATGGTATCAGCAGAATGAATATGTGGACAAAGCTGGCAACGGGGTTTGTTGCAAGGGAAGGTACCAGGGTTGGTATTAGTGTGGTATGTCCTGTGGTTGTTGGTAAGAATCATCTTGAGGTTAGGTGGTTGTCTATAGGAGACTATGGGTCTGTCTCCCAGAGCCTCTTGGAGTATGGTATCCTGTTCCAGTATAGGCTGTAGTTTATTGATAATGTGTTGGACAGGTTTAAGTTGGGGATTGCAGGTGATGACAAGTGGTGTTCTATTGTTGGTTTTCTTGGGTCTGTCTTGAAGTAGATGGTTTCTAGGTATTCGTCTGGCTCTTTCAATTTGCTTTTTTATTTCTCCAGGTGGGTAGTTGAGATTTATAAATGCTTGGTAGAGATCCTGAAGCTTCTGGTCTCTGTCAGTGGGATTAGAGCGGATGCGGTTGTATCAAAGGGCTTGGCTGTAGACGATAGATCGTATGGTGTGTTCTGGATGGGAGCTGGAAGCATGTAGGTAACTGTATGAGTCAGTGGGTTTTCTGTAGAGAGTGGTGTCTAATTTTCCATTGTTGATTTGTACTGTGGTGTCCAGGAAGTGGATCTCTCGTGTGGAATAGTCCAGGCTGAGGTTAATGGTGGGGTGTAGGTTGTTAAAATCTCTGTGGAATATCTCCAGTGTTTCTTGGCCATGCGTCCAGATCATAAATATGTCATCGATGTAGCGTAAGTAGAGAAGGGGTGAGAGGGGACGGGAGTTGAGGAAACGTTGTTCTAGGTCAGCCATAAAGATGTTAGCATATTGTGGTGCCATGCGTGTACCCATGGCTGTGCTGCTGATCTGGAGGTATAAGTTGTTCTCAAATGTGGTAGAGACAGTGTTGCAGGAAAAAAAGTCTAATTAGTAAATGATACACCCACCAAAAACAGCTCCCAGAATTTTTGATCCAAATAGAACAGGCTAAATAAATATTCACTGGGAAAAAAAGGAAAAATGCTAGAAGAGGTTTTTTAACTCTCTCTTTCTCTCACTTTTTCTAAATAAATCCTGCATTTCTGAGAATACTTTTGCTGTTTTAATGGCTTACCCACTGTTCCCTGACTCTGCATGCAGCTCTGATCTTCCTGCCCTTACAATGTTCAACTGATAACATGGCTGCTTCCTGTTTAGTTCATTTTTACCTTGGATTAAGTGACAAGAGACTTTGGCCCATTCGTTTCTTTTAGCAGTAGTGTTTTAAATTGCAAATCTCTGTGAGAGATGCTGACCACCTCCTCTCTTTTTGATTGCAGGCCTGCAGTGATGGACAAGAAAGTGGGTGATCTCACTACGTTGAATGAAGTGGGCTATCAACTACGCATCTAACAAAAAGCCATAGGCCACAGGGAGGGCTTCCATGGTGCTTCTCACTGCATGTTACCCTACGGTCCATTGGAAGGAAGGGGGTAAAAAAAAAAAAAAAAAAAACCAGGACTATTTATTAAGAACTTGTGGATTTATTTAAAGTGTCACCTAGAAATTCTAGAATGATGGCAGTATTATTTTTTTAAATTCATTAAGTGGCATCTATGAAAAACTAAGTTACCTTCACCAGGGTTTCTTCCCCTCCATCGAAGAGGAGGAAATTAATGTGGTGTTTTTTAAAATATAAATAATTTTTTCTAACCTATTTAATTGGCTTTGAATATTGTGCTACATTGGTAGTATTAGGAGCGATGATGAAATCATGTTTGTCATTAGTGTTAATGTGCTGGTGTGCAGTAGGTTTAAACATCAAGTCAGTATTAATTTTATTCAGCAATAAAAATAGTAGTGCAGAGGTGGATGTGACTTTTTATAGTGTCTATTACCTCAGTATACAACAGATATGCAAAACTGACAGAATTTTAATTTTCTAACCAATTTGTACTATTTCCAAGCATTTATGGTAGTACTATATGGCACATTAGATGCACCCCACCAATCTTATTCTGTGCATGCCTATGAAAAAGTTTAAGGTGTGAGTATATGCAAGTGTCTTCTTGAAAGCACTGCTGTCTTATTAGAGATGCAGAGAACCGGTCGAGGTTTCTGTTGGTTTTTTTTTAATAACTGACCAACAATGAATTTTTAAAATTTCTCAATTTTTTAAAACTTTGTCACGAGCTTTTAAACTTTGCAGACTACAGTGTTAAAGCACAAGACCTGGGGAGCGTTGTTTTGTAAACACTAGCATTTGCTGTAATACAAGTCAAAATGTTGGTACATTTTCAGATATACAAGGCAATGTCAAAATGAGCAGGCTTCCTTGAAAGTGTACTTTTCTGTCCATGTTTTGTGCAACTTCGAATCATTTGTCTCTGAGGTTAAACAGTTTAAGGAGGCGATGCTTTCATGTCTTATATTAAGATCGTACATCACAACTTAGAGAAGGTTCTTTATATACATTATGTTAACCTTTGCAAAGATTTGGATGAAGAAATTCTTGTTTGAGTTAAATGCAGCAATAATAATTGTTGTTAAACAAATATCTGAAAATCAAGTTTGTCCATCTTCTCCTCCCTCATGGTGTCCTTTTACTGATGAATTCAACTAGTACTAAGGATGATTGGCAGGATTTTCACACCTAGGCTACATCTAGACACAAGTTTCTTGTGCAAAAAGCTTTTTTCGGAAGAGATCTTCCAAAAAAACTTCTTGCACAAGAGAGCATCCACACTGTAAAACACATCGAAAAAGTGATGCGCTTTTTCGAAAGAGAGCATCCAGGCAGTCTGGACGCTATCTCTCATGTAAGCAGTGATTGCTATGGATAGAATGGCCACCAGGGCACCTGTGCTTTTTCCTTTTCCCTCTTCTTCCGAAAAAACTCCTCCCTCCCCATCCACACATGCCTTTTTCCGAAAGAGCTCTTTTGCAGAAAGGCTTTTCCTCATAGAATGAGGATTATAAATTGCGCAAAAATCTGTCGAAAGAACGTGCTTGCAGTATGGACATAACTCAAGTTGTGTCAGAAAAACGGCCGTTTTTCCGACAAAACTCTGTAGTCTACACATAGCCCTACTCAGCTTCTTCTTAGAGTATATCTACACTGCAGTGCCATTTCATGATACTTCCAGTATCCCAAAATAGCTATTCCACATCTTTTTAGCAAGCCTGTTATTTTGAAATATAACGGGCTCACTATTCCGATGTCCCTGTAAACCTCGTTCCACAGAATAGCTTATTTCAAATTTAATTTTGAAAGAGTACTATTTTGAAATTAACTCAAAATAAGCTACGCAATTTGCATAGCTCAAATTGCGTAGCTTATTTCGAGCAATGGGTGCAGTGTAGACACACCCTTAGAGACCTAATGGAAATAGTTACATTTCTGAAGTGATCAGATTTTCAAAGTGGTCAGCACCCAGGGATTCTCACTGAATTCTTCTAGAAGTTACTGGGTGCTGGGTAATTGCAAGTTTAGCAGTTCATTTAGGTGCACAAATGGGAGGTGAGCGGCTCTGAAAATCTAATATGTACAGAGTATGCCATGCTTTTTAAAGTTTAAAAAACAAACCCAGCTATATGGGGCATTTGGTTCCTTTTGTCCTCCTTCTCATTCTCTAAGACCGTGGTCCCCAACATGGTGCCCATGGGCGCCATGGCGCCCACGGGGGCACTTGCATGCACCCGCCAGGTGCTCGGGGCTGGCCTGGTCCCGGGCACATGGCGCGGCGCTTGCGGGGAGCGTTGGCCCCGGGCGCGCGGCACTTGCGAGGGGGAGGGGAAAGCCCCGGCCCCGGGCGCACGGCGCTTGCGGGGTGCTTGTGGGGGGGCTCCCCGCCCCCGGGCAAGGGGCTATGGGGGGGCCGCCCCCCGGCGCGCAAGTGACCCCGCCGAGGGGGAAGCCCCGGCCCCGGGCACACGGCGCTTGCGGGGTGCTTTCAGGGGGGGATCCCGGCCCCGGGCGCGTGGCTATGGGGGGGCCCCAACCCCAGGCAAGTGGCTATGGAGGCCCCGCCCCCGGGCAAGCGGCTATGGGGGGGGGCCGCCCCCGGGCGCGCAAGTGTCCCTGCCCCCTAGCGCCCGGCGGGAGAACGGCCACGCCCCCTGGCGCCCGACAACCTCAAAAGGTTGGGGACCACTGCTCTAAGATGAGGTGGAGAAGTAATAAAAGCAGACAAAAATAGTACTTACTAGAATCTTACTAGGGCACTTTGACTTTTGGAACAATGTGAATAAGCCAGTGATGAAATGAGTACAGAAGCAGATGGCAATGCCAGCAGTAATTTGAAGAAAATACAGTCCTGCCGAGGAAGCTTTTCTTACTGTGTAGTGGGCAAGTACTCGGCCAGAACAGCTGACTAGTTATTTTTGAAAGGACAAGAGGACAGTACAAAACAAGTTATAAATATTAAATATTTCTTAGGTTAAATCAAAAAAGCAGAAACCCCCAACCCATGAGATATCTTCAGACAAGTTATGGTGTTTTTTTTTTTTTAAATCACAGGAGCAATATTACTTTAACTTTTTTCCTCCATTCCATACTTTCTGGCTAGCATACAGCATTCAGGTTAATTCCAATTGTACTCGAGATAATTCAGAAGACTCCAGTAAACCTCTTAACATACTAGATACATAAGGATAAAGCTTTAACCTTATGAAAAGCAGGGGTCCCAGATTTTTAATAAGTATTTAGCAGTTAAAGAGAAGTCAGTCCCCAGGAGTTGGAGTCGGATTTTCCATGGTCTTTCAGGTTCATAGTCACGTTTACATGTGCAGAGTGTTAGCATTACTACTCACTTTGCACAGGTCAGGTGTGAATCCTAGAATCAAAAGGTGCAAGGCAGAAAGGGGGTACATGTGGCTGTTTTTTGTTTACAGTAAATTAACAGTCAGTACTTTTATGTTTGTCAGATGGAAAAGTTTCCCCAAGCAAGCAAGTGCATAAACACTGAATAATGTATTGATCTGTTGTCTGACCTTTCTTATGCCAGGAGGATGAAAAGTGGGAGGAAGAGAACATGACTTTTTATAAATGTGGAATTTTTGCAATACACAATGAAATAAGCTACAAAATGATTAAAGAATAAATTAAACCTTTGGTCTGGCAATGAGCCCTGGAATGTCCTGGTGCAATTGAAAGGGCTCCATTGAAACTGGCTGAGTTTGCCACAGATGTGTGTGGAGCCTATTGCAAGACTGAGGTCATATACCTCCCCCTTTTTCTTTAGTTATTTTTTGTCCTCAACACCAAACAAACAAAACAGTTGCTAAATTTTCCTAGTTTTCATTTTATTTTTATTACAGTACTCAAAAGTATTCCTCTTTCTTTCTGAAGAATAGTACCGGAGACGATGACCTGACTGAGTTCTGGAGTGCAGCGTTTCCTCTAAGCTGAGTGCTTGAGCAACCACTCAGGAGAGATTCAGATTCCACCCAGCTGATTAGCAGAGTGCCCACCACTGGCAGCATGTGTTTCTAGTAGTGGTACACATCTGCACGTGCCTTGTGCAGGCAGCACAACTTATTCCACACTTGGATGGAAAAAATTAGAACACTGATGGAGAGGGTTCCCTGCAGTGAAACATAAGGATTAATTTCAGCCCACAACAGTAGTGTTTTGTGTATGTATCAGGTTTGGAATAAGATGGGCTTTTTTGGGAGGAGGGGACAAAGTGTTAGGTACAAGGGTGAGGAATGGGAAAAGATCATGGTTTGTTAGTGTCAAATTTTAAGCAATTATGATTAAGAGAATTTTAGTTCTAAAGCAATATGGAATTGCTGCCTTGAATGTTGTGACTTTAAGCATAAAGCTTATACAACTGCTTCCTCATTAATGAAGTAATAACAAAAAGTTGTATGTTGGTGTCATTAGAATACTCAATTCTGAAAAATATTATTTTTCTCTACAGTACCCTATTTTAATTTTGTTTCAGCTTAATAATGACAATGTGGTTTTACTGGCATTCAGAGTATTTGAGGTTACATGTTTTATCTGAACTTCTAACTTACTACACTGAAGCTTTTCTAAGCTATAAAGCTGTGTGACATTATTTTGTACCTTGTTTTGAAGTACAAGTGAATTTTATTCATTCTTTTTCAATTTGCTCTTGCACTTACATTTCAGTCTTACCTTTAAAACTGTGATTTCAACAGCCTATTTTTCTAGCTCATTGCAAACTTGTCAAAGGATATTCTAGAAGAATACACATGCATGGTTCCAAGTCTTGCTTTTCTCATCATTTGTATGTTTATGTGCAGCATGGAATTTTAATAAAATGTCTTGCAGTCTTTTTTAATGACCTAATATGACTTTTGGCTTGAGATTAATGTACAGGTAGTAGCAGCGTGAACTCAATTAATAGTCTTTGTGGTATGGGGAAAAGTGTTTTTAAAGCAGTCACTGTAGGCTAGTAGCACTGGAATGGAAGAAGGGATAATGAAAATGTTCATAAATCTTCAATATTAAATCAACTGATGACTATTTGGCACAGAGCAACATAAGCATTAAGCCCTTCATCATAGAGTGAGTTCTTGTTTCCCCTAGTGAAAGCACTTGTCAAGAAACTGAAAGGAGACAGTGTCATAGCCTTAATCTCTGTGGAAAAATAAATACTCACTCACTCACTCAGCATCTTTCAGCAGTACTGAATGCTACATCACTCCCCTAATGGCTGCTGCTTTGCCCTCACAGTAAAGTTTCTGCTTTGACTCCTACAGCACTGACACCAGAGGGGGGTTATCTTGGAGAGAAGTAATTCAGGTTCTTTGCCCGTTTATATGTGCTGATGAAGCAGAACAGCTATAGTGGCCTTTTTGGATTAGATTTAGGCAGCCAGGACATGGGGGAATGTCCTTGAGGTATGCAGGGATCTTCCTTCAATACTTGTGTTAACTGGCTGTTACAATACAACAAGCCAGTTAATAGAAGAAAAATATCCTCTTTCTACCAAACCAAGCTTATGCTTTGCAGGGCAGGGAGGCGGACTGGAGGAAGAAACTCAATTTTTCAGCATGAACTTTTTTTTTCTTTGAACTATTTTCTGTATATGTTTGTCAGGTCTCCAGTTGCATGCACGAACTAAGAGGTTAGTATGGATTACAGCAGTATGGAAGCTGATGGTGACAAGTATGTGCACTGAGTACACCAAGCCTGCAAATGTTGCTGGGTGTAGCTCTTTACAGTCTTGGCTTGTATCAGCACTGCCTGTTACAAAGCCATAAGCGGAGGGTTACACAAAACAATCCCTGGGGAAGAACTAAAAAGCCACTGGCAAAAGAAAATGAGATCTCAACCTCCCCTTCCCCTGTGCAGTCAGGTGTTGGGAGAAAGCTATGGTATCATACAGAGTCCAGCTTGTTATAAAAAAAATCATAGATCATAGAATCATAGGACTGGAAGGGACCTCGAGAGGTCATCGAGTCCAGCCCCCCGCCCTCCAAGCTCGGTCTACTCCATCCCTGACAGATGTTATGCCACCACCTAATGTTGTATGTAGTGATGGGTTAGTGATGAGTTGATGTGTTGCTAAAATTGTAAGGGGAGGAACAGTGTTGCTTGAGTTTCAGTCAGTGCTAAGGGAGTTCTAGTTTTTCAGGCCAGACTCTTGCTTTCATCAAAAAACCACAAGAATTCAGGCACTAGTTGAGCCAGAGCAGTGGCTTGGCCCTAGCTGTGCAAGCGAGTTGAAAAGTATGTCAAATTCTGCCCATCTCGCTTAATTAGGGGAACAGGCTACATTTGCATCCCCTCATCGTGTATATTTGTAAGGAAGCTCATGTTTTTAATTGTAACATCCTCAGTAAAATAATTAGAACTTAAATTAATTTATCTTTATCATGTGAGTTGCAGATAAAAGTTGACAGACTTCCAGCTTCAATGGAAATCTTTGGTTCCCCTTAGCCAGCAAACACTTTTGAGTGAAAATGTGTCCATTGTCCTCAGAAAAGATATTCAAGGAACTGTAGAGTACTTAGCATCTCTGTTAAACATGCAGGCTGTGTCTACATTGGCACCCTTTTCCGGAAAAGGGATGCTAACGAGACAAGTCAGAATTGCAAATGCCACGGGGGATTTAAATGATCCTGAATTTA